ATAACGAAAAGTTACCCATTTCCGTGCAGCATCAGGTACGTCATAAGGTCACAATAGGGTTAACTTCTAACTACTGCCCACTTTAACTCAAATTCTAGCCATTGTTGTCCGGGGAGAAGATGAGCTCTCTTTTTGTTTGTCTGTCCCCGAAAAAAAAATTTCTGAAATTATGCAAACTGAGTTAAAAAATGTGAAATTATGCGATTCTGTTAATTTTATCAAAGAATGATTAAGGGAAATAATCAGAAATAATGCAAACAATGATCAAATTTTGCTAAATTATGCGGGGAGCATAAAACCACGAGGACATGTTTGTTACCACGACGGCAGCGCCCTGGACCCACTTCCGTTCAATTGCTGGTGCAACACATTCCTTGTTTATTTGTTTGAGTGAAGACAAAGAGTTTATAAGAGTCCTCAAAATTCGGTGGCGCCCTCTTCGCAAATGCGCACCCTTTGCGAACAGAGTTACCCTACTTGTGTTACAAAAATCAAAGTGAAACTAGCAAGTTTGTGAATAAATTTCGGAAGAACGCTTTTTTAAAATGGTTACGCTGACAAAAAAACCTCTTCCTGAGGAAAGGGTGATTGTCTTCTTATTGTAATTTCCTTCCTTTGACTTTAGAATGAAAGGCGAGAGGTCATTAAAAAAAACCTAAAAAAAACTAAAACTCCGCACTGAACGAACCCGAACTGCTGATGAACAGCAGTCGATCTGCGCACGCAAGGAGGTGTTATTCCTATTCTTCTTCTGGAAAAACTGAAGCGCCATCTGAAGCAAAGAGCGGACTTCCGGCGGACACTTTTTTGGCTGAGTGGACCATCTTGTTATGTACTATCTTTGGTGAAGAGAAGCACATCGGTACAATAACGGTCATTTAGTGCTGGGGAAAAATAAGACAGACTGAGACAGACAGAAACATCAGAGGGAAAGTCAAGAAGTAGGACCTACCAGTGACACCCTCCAACCACCCGCGGTTCAACTCAGAGTAGTCTCAGTTAAGCTGAGCAAAAGAGAATGGTGCGGGCACAAATGTATTTTGCAGTAAGGGGGGAGGGGGGGTGGACAAATCAAAGACCCCCCCCC